AAAAAAAAAAGATCATAATATATATAGTATTTTAAAAATAAAGCATTATAACATACCTGTGAAGTGGCACGTAATTCCACTTAATGCATCTCTTCACTAAGTATTTACTCTGGAGAGATTTTCTTTTTTACTGTTTTACAAATTTTTATTTTGAAAATTTCAAGAGAATGTAAGGGAATATTATAAACATCTAACATTTTGCAGCATATTCTTTTTTCTTTCTTCATAATTCTCTTATGTACATTCTATCTCTCCATATGTGTGCACATATATAATACACACAGACACATGTATATGTGTATATACATGTGTGTATGTGTATAAATATGTGATTTTTAATATACCATTTGCAATTTGCTGGCAAGATTATTCTAAACAGTCTTGACTGCTAAATAATCAACTGAAATTCTAAGGTCTTATTCCCCCATGAATAAAGGGGGGGAGCTTCTTTAGTTATTAAACTAGTTTTAAATTCTCGATATCATAAAGAGCCATGCCACTTTTTTTAACTTTGAATTATGTTGGTTGCATCAGTGATATAAGTCACATAATCCTTTAAACCCAATAATGCAATAATGCTAGTTGTAATAGTTGGTTAATTGTGCTGATTAAGTTTGTAATAGGATTACTGGAGTGACTTTGACAGTAATTTTGGCAGTCATTCTGTTTTGTTACGTTTTCTCCACAATAGTATACAATGTTATCAGGGCAGGTTCCATTCCAGTCTCATGACAGAAGTTTGACATGCACTAGTGCAGTAGAAATTATGAAGAAAATTAAAAAGGGAGATTTCTCCTTTGAAGGAGAAGCCTGGAAGAATGTATCCCAAGAGGCTAAAGATTTGATTCAAGGTAAGACTCGTGAGATTCAGTCTTTGTGTGGTGTGTAGTGACTGCAGTGGAGTCATACCCATTACACATCTGTGTGTATGTTCATTACTCAAGGAACCCAAGTGTGTCCAAAGGTTTTCCCAGGAGACTCTTCAGCTGTTTCCTTCTTATTAGAAAATTCTTTCTCAGTAATCTTACTCCCATTTCCAGCATGAACTAGTGCTTGGCTTCTACTGGCATCTCAGTCTAACACATCCAAAACAAACCTGTCCTTTTCTTACCATCCTTTTCCTCAAATATGCTCCTCTTCCCATCTCCATTTTGGATAATGGCTCTATCCAGAAAGCAGACCACTGAAACAGAAAGGTTGGTGCTACCCTGGCTTCCCCTCCTCCCAGTCCTCAGGCCAGGGCCTTAGTTCCTACCATCATTCTCTGCTCAAGTCCTACCATATCCTTTCAACTTGTCTCACCTTCTCTGATTCTCCTGCCCATCTTTTGTATGACTGAGTGACAAATGTGATTACACCTCTTCAGGTAAAAAGCCTGTGGAGACTCTCCATTAGCTTCAGGTCAACTCCTTAGTTTTGCATTATAAATACAAGCCTTTCAAGACCTGGCCCTGCCTGCCTCTGCTTCGTCATGCCCCAGCTCTGCTGTTGTCAAATACTTTGATAATTCCTCAAATATGCCACACTCAGATGCCTCTGTTTTAGTTGTCTTCTTTACATGTGCTCTTCCTAATCCTTGGAGCACCTCTTCCTCATCCTCCAGGGATGATCTCCTAAAGACTTCCTAGGTCATGCCCTATCTCCTGAACCTCACTGTGTGCATATTTTGCTACTGGAGATGCCCATTATATCAGAATAGCTGGCTCTTTGTTTCTTTGTCTCCCAATTGCTCCTCTTTGAGTCTCCTAAACATGTACAAGATGGCTAGTAATGTTTGGCCTATGAGTGAAGTAGACCTGGGTGTTCTCTGTACACTTGGAGCTCACTAAGTCACCAGTGGGAGTCTTTGTTTTGGGTGGTTTTTTTCTCCTGATTGAAAAGCCAGTTTACCTGCAGTCTCCCAGAAACAGGCTATATGTGACCTTATCTGTGCTTCTGTCCACTAGGAAATATAAACATGTATGAAAATGTAATTATCTTTGTACAAAGTTGAAGCCTTATTGAAAACATCATGTCATGTGAACAAAACTGAAATTGTATCTGAGGTTGATCTTTAAGCCATGTTTAAAATGGCAAACCATAAAATATCTTATTCATTCCCACAGGACTACTCACAGTTGATCCAAATAAAAGGCTGAAAATGTCTGGCTTGAGATACAATGAATGGCTTCAGGATGGCAGTCAGCTGTCCTCCAATCCTCTGATGACCCCAGACATTCTGGGATCTTCAGGAGCTGCAGTGCACACCTGTGTGAAAGCAACTTTCCATGTAAGGCCCTGTGCTGTGCACACAGAGGGCAATACGAAAAGGGATTCTAATCACATGTTCTTGTTTGGCAGCCTCAGAGGCATACTCTTCCTTAATACATTTCAAATGAACATGCCCTTTTAATTTTAGGTATGTTTTTATAAACAACTTGATGCTATAAACACATTATGAACAGAAAGTACATGGGGGAATCAGAGCCACTGCTAACCCACAAAACACTTGATATTTACAGTAAGCTTGTGGAAAGGGACAGTAGTCTTGATATTTGAGCAGTTGAAAAAATTTTGGTGGGTAATGTAAAGGTGCATAATTAAAAACCTTCTTAGACTCTTAAAAAAACAAACATTACATTGGGAAGGGAGGCATAAGTGAAAGTACACTTACTCAACAACCATTTAGTGCATGGCATAGTCTAGAGACTGAAGGACATGAAGTAAACTAATTGTATTAAGCATAGATTGTATTCTAGAAAGGCTTAGACTGCATGGTAATAACTGTACATTGTGCACCTTGTATCAATAAGATGCAGTGCATTAGTAATTGCTGAAAGATGAGTTAGGGAGACAAAATTATCTCCCTAACTCTTTGAGAATCAAGGGATTCTCTTGAGAATGGAGAAGGAAGAGCACTTTGTCAGGTGCACAATTGGATTTGAAAAAAAAAAAAACAAATGAGGACCTTTTGGGGAGTGAATAGAACTGCAGGAACTGGTACCAGATGATCCAGATCTTAGCGACACAGGATGTGGGGTTGCCAGGCACCACTACAACACTGCCCACAAAGAAAAGTCAGGACATGACAAAACTTTGAGAAGGAAGTAGGGTGAGGTATGTAATGCTAAGCTGCTCTGTGTATGAAGTGTCCAAGATGTACTCAAATGGCATTGCATTTGAAAATACAGCGCAAGGCCCCACAATGAATCAGTGCTGAGAATTTGGGGTTAGAATTGTAAATGTTAGACATAGAACCAGTAAAAGTAGTGGGGACAGGGTGTTGGTTTAAATGACCGATGTTCTTTAGGAACTTCCAGTTGGTCAGTGGCTTCTTACTGGGATGTAGTGCTAACTTCTTCAAAAGATTCATTAGGGGCTGGAGATATAGTTCAGTGGTAGAGTACTTGCTCAGCCTGCATGAGGCCCTGGGTTCTATCTCCAGCCCTGGAAAAAAAAAATAGTATTGAATCATGACCCCTGAGTAGCCCAACTGGCTTGATTCAAAGAGATTCCCCCCTCAACCCCGGGAATCTTTCCCAGGCTGGGGTTGTGACTCAGTGGGAGACCACTTTCCTAATATGTGTGAGGCCCTCGGTTCCATCCCCAGTACTGCAAGAGAAAAAAGAAATCTTTCCTATAAACTTCTCTCCTCTGAAGGAGGTTAGGAAATAAAAGTTTTCAGAGCTTTGTTTCCAAAACAATTTGGGGCTGGTGTTGCCAGCAGAAAGTTGTCCTTTTGCTGTAATTCCTAGCTGCTATGAAAACTTCAGTACTTTTCTCTTCAGGAGGGCTCCTTTTTTTTTTCTCCCCTAGGCCTTTAACAAATACAAGAGAGAGGGGTTTTGCCTTCAGAATGTCGATAAGGCCCCTTTGGCTAAGAGAAGGAAAATGAAAAAGACAAGCACCAGTACGGAAACGCGCAGCAGCTCCAGTGAGAGTTCCCACTCCTCTTCCTCCCATTCCCATGGCAAAACTACACCTACCAAGATGCTGCAGCCCAGCAATCCTGCTGACAGTGGTAACCCAGAGACACTCTTCCAGTTCTCCGAATGAGTGGCATAGGAATGGTAGGAATGGCATCAGTGACCCATTGCACCTTTATTTCCCTCAGCATGTGCCTGAGGTGATGTTCTGTGCTTTAAAAGATGTGTCCCAGTGGTCTCATTGAAGTCTGCCTCTTAATGAATTTTTTCAGGAAAGCCTATTTGGTTATCCTTGTCCAAAAGCACTGGACAGAGAACATTACTGTGAATAAGGCACATGTAATACTTTTTGGCGACCTAGCATGATGCCAACAGGACTGTTCTTGAAACAGCAAAGGTGTCTGTACATGAAGTAGGGACTGGTCAGGTTGGCGCTGCCTGTGACAGGTTTTCATATCTCCAACAAGACTTAATGTTGCCTTTTGCTATGCCTGGTGGACAAGGTGGACTTTTAAGGGATTTTTATCTTTTGGATAGTGATTTATCAGAGAAAAAGGTCTGTCTTCAAAAGAGATTCTGTAATGAATTTTATTTGTGGCTTATACTTATTTCTTGAGAGAGAATTTTAACTTATTGTTTTTATTTTATGGTTATATATGATGATAACCTGCTATTATTAATCCTTTTCTAAAAAGTTAAAAAAAAAAAGCAAAAACAAAAACCTAAGAACCTAAGGTTCCACACTCTGTATTTGGGATCTGAGATGCATGCTATGCTACATTTGTTTTTAATTTTGCACTGCTCTTTCCTGGCAATTTGTTTTAATGGTTATTACAGAATATTAAGGTACATGTCTCTCTGTTTTAAGTAATATTACACTCTGTAAAAGAGTGTGAATAAAGCAATCTATTTTATAAAGTGCACTGTTTAAAGCATATGTACTGTATTTTTTTCCATTGTCTACTTTAAACTTGTCCTCATGTCCCTTTTCTGCTTTGTATACAACAAGTAGAATAGGGTGTGTTGTATAATGAGTCATTAGCAACTTATGCATCAATATGAGGAAAAACTAAAGGGAAATTATACTCAACACTGTGCTTCATATCTGTACACTGTGTTGTACTACAGTGAGACATTTCCTCCTGTAGTCATATATTATGTACATAATATTTAGAATCATACCTATGACTTGTTTTGAATTTTTCTGTTCAATTTTAAATCCAGAAATCATGTTTTATATACTTATGCAGAGCACTTTTATTGCTCAAAAGTTCTGAATTCATACAGAAAACAAGTGCTATGCGATGAAAGATTGCTGCATTTTCAAATACAAGTAATTGATTCCCTATGCAAAAAAAAAAGAAGTGATTAGATTTGTATGTTTTTTTTTCTTTTAAAGCCATCACATGGCATGTCAGGACTGAGAAGAGTGATCTTTGCTATGTTTACAGGAATCATGCTTAAAAAAAAAGTGCCCAACATGCTTATTTTGCAGTTTCTGTTAATGATACATTTTTAAGCATTACTTTGGAATTTGGGCATGATATTTATTTTTCCCTTTCTTGAGGTGATAGCAGCATTAATTTTAACCAGTTATGAATACTAAAAATATTGCACTCTATGTAATGGTAGTGTATTTATTACTGAACCAATGTGTACATGAATAGCACAGACAAAAAATGGTAAATATTAAAATATTTTCAAAAAATCATATCCTGTTCACATTTTTGTCCACAGTGGTTTATGGGAATAACTTTTTATACTTTTACTGGCTCAAATGGCTACAGAATTCTCATTGAGTTAATGAGAATTTTGTAGCTTTCAGTCATTCTTGGTAATGCTGGGAAATTTTGGTTGAATTATTACCAAACTAGCTAATTCAAAAACTGTGATTCTCTCAGGCACAGATTTACAATAAGAAAATGTCCATTTATTTTTACACTGGATGTATTTATTTGGTTTATATTTGGGAATGTATAAGTTAGCTCTTCAAAATCACTTTTTAAACTGTGTTTTCTGGTACAAAATATGAGTGTAATGTACAAACTAAAAAGCAATTGAATAGCCAATAGAAATTGAGCCAGAAAAATGGTTCAACAGTATACCCAGATGGTTGACTGATTCATTGTGAATATTTGGATTGATGGGTTTCTTTTCATTGCTTTTCCTTTAGTCTTCTCCTGGTGGACTTGACAGACACTGAAATGGATAAAAGTCAGGCAGAGTGAGAGGAAGGAGGAAAGACCAGGCTGTCTGCAAGCTCATGAGCCTGCCTGCATTATCTAGATGGGGCTTTGGAAAAGACCTCAGGAAACACAGGTTCTTGTGCTCTGTCAGATATCATCATCCTCACTCAGCTTAGAAAGACCCAAAACACAGCATCTGATACTAAATTTGTAGCAGATAAGTTGTATGCAGGCTCTCTGTTAGTGTATAGCAATTGCCCTTTAAAATTCACAAAGCAGCTTTCATTTGGTCACATCAAAATTAAACTTAAAAAATACTTCACATGAAATATTTAATGAGAGAACTCTTGATATGAGGAGTAAATAAAAATAGATCTAAGAAAAATAAGTATGTACATTAAATTCTCTTTTGACACTAATTTTGGTGTTAGAACCAATTTTCTGCTTTGCCTATTAATTGTATTATATGTAATTTATACCATCATAAATCCTGACTCATTTATTTTAAAACTATATATGCATAATATATTGAGAGGCAAGAATAATAATAAAAGGTTGGTAACAGAAGAAATAAATTAAGAAAGATCAGTTTCATATAATTACTATGCCAGATCTTGTGGTTGAATGAATTCAATTAGTTATTTTGAAATCCATTAATTCTCTCAACCTCTATAAACTCAGAAACCACTGAATTACTGGAATGAAACTAATTTCAATGTGATTGTCTGTCTTGAAGTTGCAGGTTCATTTGCCCATGAAAAACTGCCTTTTATTTTTTTAGATTACTACTAACTTCTTAAATAAATATGTAAATAGCTAAATTTTAAATATAAGGTAAGTTATTTTATAGAATCCTACTAGAATAACAGTGACTGGCTTACTTTTTAAATAAGGACATTCCTTGGTAACTCAGAACATACTCAGATATTTTATAAAAGTCATGCAGTTTATTGTCTACATATTCACCTTGCCTCTGTTTTAAATAGCTGTTATTGCTTAAGATTAATTAAGAACATAGTATCTTACAATGTTGAAAATTTTTAAATTACTGGTTTTATCTATGTCTTGGACTACCTGATTTTGGGTGTTCTTTCAATGACCAATAATAATTTGGGTGTTTGTGTGGTAATATTTCTAGTATTCCCTAAAAGCTAAGTAAGTAAGTTAAATTCTGATATTCCATTTAGGATATGTCAAAATAATTGTCTTATAGATGAATTATTGCAACCTGATGAAAGATCTTAAAATTTTGATGTTTTGCCTCTCAAATGCCTTATACCATAAGAACCTAATTTCTGGTCTTTAATTATACCACCTCGTGAGTATAATTACTTGATATCATGAGTATCATTACTTGATATCTTTATCCAGCACTAAAAAAACCAACATAAAAAGCTTTAATGAAATGTGGAATTTAAATATGAGTCATTATAAAACTCAAGAATGGAAACAACCTATAAGATTAACAAATTTATTTGATACAAAGAAATATGTATCAAATAAATATTTTAAATATAATATACTCAAAAGAAATTGCTGCTATTGCAACATAAAGGTTTTATTCACCATCATGTCAGTAACTTCAATACAAATTTTGACATTCTTTAGAGAGAATATTTTCCTTAAAAGTAATTACATGTGTTTTGATTCTGTTGGGAATAAAAGGCCTATTTTCAAGGGACAGCATCTCCTTAAGAACATTAAATTAGTCTCACTTCAGTCCTCATCATCAGCATTGCTTACTTTTGAGCTTTCAAGATACTTTTGCTGAGCCCTTTTCCTGGTATGCACCTTTCCCTTTTATGTAATTCAGTAGGTACCTTCTGTTCCAAATGCTTCTTCCCCCTGCCCATGGCTGAGGTGTATCTATTTCATGAATTTGTGAAGTAAGCAAGGGCCAGAACTTTTATATTTTCCTAGCATCAGGCTGACAAGGAGTAAGAAACTAAAGTGGATCCCAAATATATGTGTCTTGGCATCTTTCTTTCATTACTTCATTGCTTTCAACCAGATGGCAAAAAGCTGATATTGTATGTTTAGAAGGAGACTTACATTAAAAGGCAGTATGCTTGGTGGTTACTCATTGAGCTTAATTTTCCTGGCATATTTCTGATGGGATAGGTGGAAGGACATGTTGTGATATTTTCCTATTTGGAATTCTGCTTGGCTGGTTGTAAGGCATTGAATACTTCAGATAAGCAAGTTTGTGTTTAATATAGCAACTGGTCTTCAGAGCACAGGAATCCCAGATAACATCTAGTATTCTGTTGTTCCCATCATTCTTTTTTATTGTATTATTATATTATTATATAACACTTACAACTTACATGCTTTTAGAAAATTTGTCTCTTTACTTTAAAAATCTGCTTTTATCGGTGTCCTTTCCTACAGTAAGCAGTCTTTATGTTTGTGTCTTAAAGCCCTTCTGTGTTTTAAAAAAATGAAGATGAAAACAGAAATAACAGAAAAGAAATATCATGACCTAGAGAAAGAAATTGAAGTTGTGAATTGAATACAGTGGCTCTGTTTTCTAACATTTCTTCTTGGTAGATAGATTGGAAAATCATTGGTTTTTTTATTCGCTTTGCTTTAGAATCCAGTAAGGTTGAGGCACTTGATGTTTTTAACTGCAATTTTATGTTTAACTTTATAAGAGGCTGTGGAGAAGGCCTTTTCTCTCATTCCCTTGTTACTAAACCTAACTGGGGCTAACTGGGTGGCAACGGGAGATGCAGAAAGAACAAAGGATAGACAGAAAGTTGGTACCAGGTGTATTGGGCACTCAGGTGGAGATGCACAATCCTCATTGCTTCTTTTCTCTGTTATTCTCTTCGTTTTACTCTGCTTCTTATCTCTATCTTTATTCTTTAAGGCCTTATCCCTTTACAATTCTTTAAAGCCTTGCTTCTAAAGTCTTCTTTAAAACCTTGCTTCACTGTTCTTTAAAACCTCTTTCCTTAGACTCGCACTGTCCCATGTTTTCCCTTAGCTTTTCTTTAGTATATTCTCTCTTAAAGTCTTTGCCCCAAACTTGCACTGTCTCATGTTCCCTGTAGCTTTTGTTTAGCTTAGCTTTTCTAAAGCCTATGTATAAAGTTCTCAGTGTAGACTTTCTATCAACCCTTTAGCAATTCTTTTCCCTTCAGCAATCTCCCTCCGGCACTTTCCTTTCAGCAATTCATTTCCCTTCAGCAATACTTTTCCCTTCAACAATTCTTTTCCCTTCCAAAGCCTCCCACACCAAAAAGCCAAAAACCCAAAAGCCAAAAACAAAAGCCTCAAGCAAAAACCCCAAAGCAAAAGCCTCAAAGCAAAAGCCTCATGTCCTCCTTCAGTAAGTCTTTTATACCCAGTGGTAAACAGGGTGGAGCATTGTAACAGGAGAAACCTGCTTTCCTGCTTCTCTGAACATAAAGAACT